TCCTCAGGGTCTGCTGGGGCTTGTCGACAGGTCTACACTCCTCCAGCACTGATGACACTTCTCACCTCTCCTCTGTGCGCACACTCATGCTGGCCTTGGAGGGTCCCAGGCACTAGTGTGGCTTCAACCACGACCCATCTCTGACACCCCCCAGTGGTGCTGCCAGCTTCCTGCTCTCCTGAGCCCCCAGCGACGGTCACTGCTCTCCAGGCATTCACAGCCTACGTCTGCCTGCAGCCGAGCTGACCTCCTTGTTAAGGAAAGCCTTGGTCCTGCTCAGAAGCACCTGTGCAGAGGTAGGGTGGCTCGCCGGCCGGTGCAAACAGGGATTGTGTTTCTCAATTTTTACACCAAAATATCAACCCTACTAGTTAAACGCGGGTCTTCCAAAGCATATTCATTTCCACTTAATCAACAACTTAAAACGCCAGTGCCTGGGCTATCAGATTGTATAACCTCAGATTGTGGTGCTATTTCTAATAATAGGCCCGGAGATGTGATATGCAGAGGGGAGACCGAGGGATGTTGTCTGTACACCATCCTCAGTCCTAAAAGCGCGTCCCCAAACCTGCAAGCTTGTCTGTCTCCTCTCTCTAGATGTGCACGCGAACGCCCATGCGCACCCAAGGGCCCACTCGTGCCCACTCCCCCAGCCCGGGACACGGGTCACGTCAAGAATCAGCTAGACGAACAGCTGCTGCTCCCGTGTTCTCGGTAACACTCAGTGGACACAAAGGTCCTTTCTGTGTTTATATGACAAGCCCTGAACCAGCACCAAGGAAAAAACTTGTTTTTCAAGGTGCACGTCTGCTTGCAAAACGCTAAGGACTACGTGGATCTTCCCCCGCCTTGGTGGCGAGTGGCAGCATGCCCTCTGCCAAGGTTAATCCCAAGGGTAACACACTGACGCCGCCCTTTGTTTTCGCTGTTGGTTATACACTTGATCTGGAGGCAGAGGATGTAATGGGAAGACTCCAAGCTTTGCAGCTTTTCCAGGTCCAGATCTGAATCCTGGCCAGCCACTCGCTCAGCTTCTGGGAAAACCGTCTAATTAAGGTCCGTCTTCCTCGCCCGTCAATAAAACCCGGACAGACCCCTCTCCAGACTGTGGCAGCACCCAATCCCGGCACCGCCACACGCCAGGGGCTCCAGGAGGTCCCTGCCAGGCCCCCCGCCCCACCCCAGATCGCTCTCTGACTACGAATAAAACATATGCGTATTTTATTTTAAACCTTTCAAATCCCTTTTTTGAGGAAGCAGACATACGCTTTAAATGGCAATGCGCTCCTGTCCCAAGCACACTGAATTTATGATAGCAAAACTGTCCTTTGTATGAGTCAGTGCTCCTGGGCTCACACATCGATACAAACCACCGGGCAGAGCCGGGGCCCTCTCTCCATCCTCCAGGCCTCCGCCATCTGACTCTCATCACCCACGAGGCCTTCTTGCCTGTCCTGGCTTTCCCCACCTGCAGCTTCTTCATTCAGCATCTGGACTCACCCACCGTGCTGCCTGGAGTTACTTTCTCCGCTTCCTGCCTGACTGATACGGGCCCCCCACCCAGGGTGTCATTCTGCACCCAGATACTTCACAGTGTGGGGCTGAGCCATCAGGCACACGGCCTGATCCTGAGAAAGGTCCCTGGAAACGTGTTCCCACATCTGAAAGCATCTCCGCGGTGGCTGAATGCTGAGGGCACCCAATTAGCAAACTGTTTTTGTGCGAGGCCTTCCACGGAACTTGAATCACGACAAAACATTTTCATCCCTGTGAACCACCCAAGTGTCTTTACCGCAAGAATAAAGAATTTCAATGCAAACTATTATACAGAGAATGGATAAACAACAAGGAACTACATTCAATATCCTGTGATAAACCATAAGGGAAAAGAATGTGGAAAATGTTTGTGTGTGTAACCAAATCCCTCTGCTGTACAGCAAAAACTAACACAACACTGTAAATAAACTATACTTCAATAAAATAAATTAAAAAAAAAGAATTTCAAGATTCTAATGCCATCTACTAACCAACGACACTGTGTGTCTGACCGAGTGAGGCAAACTATGGCCTTTTTAATCGGATTTCCCAGGTTTTAATCAAATTTTCTCTGCAAAGCCCGAGGTCCTTAGCAGGCACCAGACACCCCAGGGCAGGCCACGGTGCACAGGAGCTGGGCTTGAATCTCAGCTCCTGCCAGGCCAGGATACTTCAGTCCCTGTCCTGAGAGCACAGTGGGGCTCCCAGGGCCTGTGGTGAGGCTGCTGTGAGGGGCAGGGCTGTGCCTGGCGTGGCAGGCGGCGGGGGGACCCTCCACACGATCACCCCCTCCCCCCACCGACATCCAATGCCCATTTAATGATACCAAGATTAAATGGCCCTGACTTAGTTTCCCATCTTTGGGTAGCAACTGCAGTTTTGCGACTTGAAATACTGCAACTGAAGTGCAGGAGTTCAGCAGCAGATCACTCTGCAGAATTAAATGCAATGGGAGGGGACTTTCTTTGACTCCAAGGGGGAAAAGGGTGCTTTGCTTTGAAAGGAGGCCCTTCAAATAAATGGTTTCTTACTTAGCCGAATTCCTCTTAACTTTCATTTTCTAAATCAAGAACTTCTGCCAAAGAACTCTGTAACAGGCTGCTTTTGTTATCAACTATATATTTAATTCAATTCTGCCCATAATTAAGGCTAGAATATATTATAATTTGGAAGATAGATATGTATGTATATACTATGCAATTCATTTTGGACTTGAGTTTGTAGAAATTTTACCTTTGTGAGAGTAACTTTCTCTCACTTGTGAGACAAATGATAAAATGATTATCATTGATAACACCACCAAGAAAACCAAAGGCAGGCCCCCTGACAGGTTCAAGGTCATCTTTCCCGAGTCCAGTGGTCCAGCTCCAACAACAGAGCGGAGGGGACAGCCACAGGCCACCAGAAACACTACCAGGCGGCCACTCAGTCAAATGTGGCAAAACCTGGAGGGGCAACAATGTATTTTGAAAAATTCTTCTTACAGCTCTTTTAAGGCCTTAATATGAAAAAGACTGGGGGGTGGAGGGGAAGCAGGGGAAGCAGATGAACGAATGAGCCTCTGCTGGCGCTGGAGAATGCAGCCTCACCTCGCAAACTGTGATGAAGCCACTGCATTAACCCCCGAGCTTCCCTGCCAGTTGGTTTCCAAAGCAGAGGGGAGGGGCTGGCAGTGTCCTACACATGGGGGCTTTGCAAGTAGCTACTGAATGGACAGGAATATTCTAAACAGACATTGATGCCAGGCAGTTTGAAAAATCAATTTGCTATTTAAAATCTCTAACTTAGGGAGTTCCCTGGCGGTCCACTGCTGGGGCCCGGGTTTGATCCCTGGTCAGGGAACCGACATCTCGCAAGCCACACGGCTCGGCTCAATCAATCAACCAATCAATCAATCAAATCTCTAACTTAAAAACCAGTCCAGGCTAAGAGAACTATTCCATTAGGTGGCCTCCAACGAGGAGTCTTTATGTCAGAGTCTGGTGCCCGGCTGTTGGCTGCTGTCAGGGTGATTCCTAAAAGCCCAGGTGACACTGTCTCAGACAGGTTAAGTGACAAAGGTCTACAAAACAGCAACACCTGTCCGTTTTCTCCACCTTCCAGTCCAAATACTTCTCCCCATAGAAGTATTTCTTCTTCACATCCCCAAGTGATGCCTAAAATACGGTCGAGGTGTGGCTACCCCTCTGCTCGGGCCACTTCCCAACATCACTGCCGGCGTGTTGTGTGGCCTTTCTCTCAGGGACATGTCCCCTCCATCCCCATCACTCCGGGGCCCCCGCCCTCCTGTCATCAGGACCCAGGTATGACTCTCCTAACTAACCCCCTGGGCTTGAGTTTCTAGTAACCTTCAACAGATTCTTGGAGCCACGTGGGAGAGGTTTCCTCCTCAAGTTCAAGCCTGGCCACGCCCCTCGCCCCGAGTACACACGTCCACGCGGAGTGGCAAACCCCGCAGGGAACAACAGTGAGCACCTTGCCTCTACAGGGAACGTGACCTTGGGGACCTGGCAGAAACTGCAGTGGTTTTAGGAGAAACTGGAAATCCAGACTTTTATCTGAAACCTCACAAGTTTTAAGACACCGGTTCGACTTTGAAAATTTGGCTACCTGAACCAAACCAGACTCTGAGTACGAAAATCATCCCTGGGGAAAGCAGCTGGCCGCCTCTCCAACACAATACATTCAAATCTTCAAACAAGCAGAGCCGCCGGTGGGCCTGGCACGGCTGCTCCCCAGACCCCGCGAGGCCGAGGCCCACGGGAGAAGGCGGAGACCGTGGAGAGGGACTCGCTCGTGCGCTGCGTGGGCTTCAAGGTCACAGGGAAGCCCACCCCTTGAACTGCGAGTGAAAGAGCCCTCACGCTGCCCACGTGGCTTCTGGCTGCGGCTCAAGGTGGTGAACGAAAGTAGCAAACAGCATTAACAGGTGTGTAAACACATTACTGTCCACCTTCCCAGGAGGGCAGTTTCTATCCTGGTTATTTCATCCAGTGTGTATTCTGTTCTCTGTATCACACATGGGCTTCAGGCCTCATGAAACCTATGAAAAAGTGTAAAAACCACAGGGGAAGCATTTTAAACGAGACTGCTTAGCCGAAATAAATAATAACCTGTTCTGCTTTCACATGTTAATTCAGAGGACGGGCATCCTAGCTCAACAGCTAGAACCTCAAGTCCGCAGCCAGCACCTCTTGGCTCCTGGCCAGAAGGCTGGGCCGGGGAGATCCACGTGGGCACGTGCTCTGTGCGCAGGCTCGTCCCAGGATCCGACAGGTTGAGTATCCAGGATGGGCCATCTGGCATCTGTATGCTATGCCATGCCCTGGCCTGACCTTGAACCAAAGTCACAGGCACGGGTGCCTTCAAACCGAGAGCAACAGCAGAGGGGCAGGTGCCCCCGTGCGGCCCGCTCTGCCTGGAAGGAACCCTCCCGCGAGAACCGATGAGGAGCCCCGCGTTACCTCTTTCTGCTGTCGCTCCAGCTCCTTCATCCTGATCTCTCGGGCCTCTGCTCGTGCCGCGCGCTTTGCCGCCAGCCTGGCCTCCGCCTGCAACACACCGGAGATGGCATTAGGAGACAGACCAGCGGCTCCTGTCCAGGACACGGTTAACCATGATGCTCTTGTTCAGAGGTTAATAAACAGTAACACAGACTTGTAAGCGTTAAAAGGGTCCAGGAATCACAGTCACCATAGTTACAGTAGTCACGATTGCTCCCTTTTATTGACCCCTTACTAAATGCCAATGGGTGCTATTCTGAGGGCTTCATGTATATTATGCCATGGACTCCTCGTAACAGCCCTATTGGGGAGATGGTGTTACCACACCCAGTTAATAGATAAGGGAACTAGGGCACAGAGAGGGTAGGGCGCCCACGGTCACACAGCCCATAAGTGGCAGGGCTGGGCGGTCTGCCTTCCTCTGGAGCGATGACAGATGAGTGCACGGAGCAAAGCACTAGAGCTGGACAAGACCCCAGGTCACTGGCTGAACCCCTCCCTTTACAGACCAGGGAGCAGAGGCCCGGAGACGCCACCAGACCTGTCCAAGGTCACAGGGCTGAGACTCTGCCCCTGCTTTCCAGAACTCCTGGCCAGTCACCCCTCACTACTCCCCACTGGCCCCCAGCTGCCCCTTCAGCACCTGAGACCTGGGAAGCCCATCTTTTCTCAAGCAAGACATCTTCCACCAGAGCAGCGTGGTTCCAGCTGTTACATTAAACAAAATCTGGCTCCATTTAACTACCTGTCAACTTGCAGCGGATTTGCCCTATTCTACTCAAGAGCATCTAAGACGCCTGACCAGGACCAACCAACGTCGTCGGACCTGGCACCTGAGCCCCGTTTCTCATTCTACAAATCTCGAGCTTATTCATTATCGCAGGTGATACGATGGCCCAGTGAGGTGAACGGTGCAAGGGGACCAGGATCCAGGTTTTCTGGTGTCAAACAGATCCATCCTTTTTCCACTTAATTTTTTATGGGAATACACTTGTGATTCTTCCAACAGTTCTGACAGCTTTCGCTGTTCCCTAGGTCACCTTAAAACGGGGCCTTTGGAGACGGCCACGTGCTTCTGATGTGGTCATTGGGGCCAGCAAGCAGTGAGGTGGTCCAAATGTCCTGTTGTCCAGTTTCTTCCCAAAGGCCAGGCACCCTGTACCGCAGGCTCCCACCAGGACCGTGGCGCCTCATGTCAAGGACGTCCCTCGCCCTCACCCCACAATTATATTACACAGAACTACAAATTCGTCTTCTAAGTTCTAATCTAAGTTGAAAATTGACCACAGCTGATCTGTCAAAGATTAGCTAGCTAATGTCCTCATAAGGAATTTATTCTATAACCCTCTTCGTTCATGCGGTTTCTTTTTTTTTTTCTTTTTTGCGGTACGCGGGCCTCTCACCACCGCGGCCTCTGCCGCCGCAGAGCACAGGCTCCGGATGTGCAGGCCCAGCGGCCATGGCTCACGGGCCCAGCCGCTCCGCGGCATGTGGGATCCTCCTGGACCGGGGCACGAACCCGTGTCCCCCGCATCGGCAGGCGGACTCCCAACCACTGCGCCACCAGGGAAGCCCCATGTGGTTTCCTTACCAACCCAAGCCCAGGTCCTTCAAATCAAGGATGTCAAAAATCACAACTGCATCAGAACTTTAATACCTCATTGCCATTTTCAATTTTCTAAACCATGTTACATTGTGTGATGAGCCACTCGCTCAGGGTCTATAAAAAGATCCAGCCAAAACGGAGGGGAGAGGAGGGGAGGGGAGGGGAAGGTTTGATAGACTGACATCTGGGTACCCTGACTACCTATAGCCTCATCAACGGGCCAGCAAGAGGTCTGCGTCCACGCTGAGCGCAGCTGCCTCTCCAGCCCTTCCTGGGCTCCCTGGCTGTTGGCCCAGGTTCTAAGCCGGTGTGGACCAGGCAGCCACAGCCCATCAGCTTGGGGAGGGGGCAGTGAGGAACAGCGAGGGGATTTAGGAAAAGAGAAGGGAGGGCATGGAGGAAGAAGAGGCGGGTGGAGGAGTGAGAACGTGAGAAAGAGGCTGGAAGCAGGAGGGGCTGCCAGAGGGGGACAGGGGAGAGAGGCGTGTGGCAGGCAGGATTCTAGGATGGTCTCCGAGATTCCCGTCACTGCTGTACATGTTCTACATTCTCCTCTCCCCTTGAGTGTGGCCAGAACGGTGAGTATGACAGATGTCACTCCTGTGACTGCGTTACATTATACTGCAAAGAGAAATGCACTAGTAATGAAGGTCCCTCGTCAGCTGACTTTGAGTTCATCAAAACAGAGCTCCAGGGTGGGCCTGACCACATCAGGTGAGCCCTGGAAAAGTGGGCCTGGAGGTCAGACAGACTCCTGCCGGCCTCGCAGAAGCAAGCTGCCACGTGCGAGAGGGCCTGTGAGGGGTCACACAACAAAGAATGAGAGCGGCCCAGCTGACAGCCAGCAGGAAAATGGGACCTCAGTCCCGCAACAGCAGGACGTGAATGCCACCAACAACCACGTGAGCTGGGAACAGGACTCTGAGCTCCAGAACGGATGCAGCCTGGCCGAGACCTTGACTGCAGCCTCAGGAGACCCTGAGCAGAGGGACCCAGTAGGCTGTGCCCAAACTCCTGACCCATGGGAACTGTGAGATAAATCAGCGTGTGTTGCTCTAAGCTGCCACATCGGTGGGTATCTGTCCTGCATCAGCAGACGACTGACATGAGGTGGTGAGGTCTGGGATGATTCCTGCTCACACAGCGTCGGTGCCTCTGTGACTAAGGAGCCCGAGCCCCTGCACGCCCACCTCCTCCCCAGCCTGTCCGGCCAGCCCCCTCCTCTGCTCGAACTCCTCTTGGGACCGGAGCAGAGATCCTCGAAGAGACCACCTCTCTGAGCAGGTGGTCCCTGCCACCTGAGACGGCCTCCCCACCAGACTGGCAGGCCTCCAAAATCATGTCCCATCAGACCCCAGCTACTCTGGTGGGCCTCTACCCACCAGCAAAGGGCTCCCGTCATGGCCCACCTCCTCTCTGGTCCTCACGTCTACCCAGCATGTCTGTCCTGTCCATGAGAACAACCCCCGACCTGAGGGACCTGGGCTTGGGTTGACAAAGGGACCACATGAATGAATCAAGTTACAGGACAAGCTCCCTGTGAGGACACGAGCTAGCCAACCCTGAAGACAGATCGATATGGTCAAGCTTCACCTTAGATTAGAATGTGGAAAGGAGATAAATAATTCAGTACAGTTTCAAATGCTTGCAGTCACCGCCATATGAAGCACCTCCAACCCACAGGATTCTTATATGACTCATATGTGGAGAACAAGGCTCTCATAACACAGGAAGTGGTAACAACCATGCTTGCTTCTGGGACTCTGGCTAAAAGCTAACAGATACACAAGCCAACGTCTGAAGGGGCACAAAACCTATGCACAGCCAACTTCATTAGCACAAAACCAGTATCAGCAGAATAACCCCAACACAACTGAGATGCCTAAAAGAAAAACCACACGGAGCTCTGACAACACAATTCACTCTAAAACGCCGACACTGCCAAGAACACAAAACAGCCAGACACAGAGCATCACCCATGATGCTCATTTAAGACAGCATCAGGGGAAATGTTTGATAAGATCAGTCGTTCAATGAACAGAAAGTACAAAATGGCGATGGTCCACCCTGGTGACCTGCAGGCACGAGTTCATTCCCCCCAAAATTTCCAGGGAGGCCCAGCCCTGCCCTCCAGTTGCCAACCATCAACCGAGCAGTTCCAGGGGTCGATGTGCCCCCGGCCAGGGCTTTGGTGATGCAGGACAAATCCGTTGTGGACTGACGCTTTTGTAAAATATAAACTCACACGCTTGAGGTCACAGCCAGGTCACACTGTTTGAGTCTCCAAATGCACACTTTCACTTTCTGTCCCTCGCCTGTAGGGGACTGCAGCTTCCTGGCCACCAGCACTCCAGCCCAGGCCTCGCAGCACTGCCGAGACTGCAGGGGAAGGACTTTCAACGTGCAGTCTGGGGCCCTAGTCTCAGGGGGTGCACACAAAGCTCTCGGGGACCATGTACAAGTGACAAGTGCTACGGTGGGTGAGAAACCGTGCTGGGGCTGCTCTGGAGGAGAACGTAACCCGTCCGGGTGTCGGGAAGGCGTCCTGGAGGACGGGGGCCCGAAGCCAACGCCGAGGGGCAAAGAGGAGAAGGCCAGTCGAGGGGGCGGGCGGCAAGGGGCCAGGACGGGGCGGCGGAGTCCCGAGGGCCCGGCTGCCTGCGCTAGCCTCAGCCCTGCTACCTGGAACCTCATCTTGAAGGAACGCGGAACCACTGATGGGTCTGAAGAAGGCAGAGCACAGCGGGGTCTGACTTTCACTTTAGAAACGTGGCTCTGGCTGAATGTGGGGACCAGGGGCGGGGTGGGGAGGGCGGCATGAGGCCCGGGAAGTACGGAGAGGCTGCTTCTGAGCGGGGTGGGGGCGGGGGGGGGGACGAAGCTGGGCGGAGAGGCGAGAGGGCCCTGGAGGGAACGTCAGGTGCCCAGGGTCCCAAGGAGGCCCACGCGGCCCCAGCAGCCAGCCCGCGCCACGCTGGATGCCACTCACCCAAACCCGAACCCGGGCACACGGTCTGCTGACGCCTCCGGCCTCAGAGGTGGGGCATTTCTCCACCCTGACCCCCTCCCCGCCGCACTCCCAACCTCAAGGGAGACGACAGTGGCCAAAGGATGGGGCCAAGGAGACGGACCTATGGCATTTAGGGCACAAACGATAAACTGCACAGGTCTGTAAAGCAAGGTTTGGGAAATGAGACTTCCCAGGCTCCCCCTCCCCACGCCCGCGATGGCTGTCAGCTGTCGTCCTTCAGCTCCCACTGGAGGTCAAGGTCAGTGAGTCTTCCACTGGCTACTAGCCCCCGGCCTGCTCGCTGTGACCGCACGACGCTGGCAGGGCCGCGCTCCCACCCAGAGCTTGGTGGCCAGGCCGGTCCAGCTGCTCGTCCCTCAGCCCACTGTCCTCGAAAGGGGCTCTGGAACAGGCGTAGCTCCGGACAGCAAA